TTTACACTTAGTTTAATGTAGGCAAGCTATGTTACCGCCGTTTCGTCTCATTGTATCCACTAACTGCATATGCCTATTAATGTACCTACATTCTATGTGGCTAGACGAATCTCATTCTCTTGAACTAGTTTCTTTACTTGCACTCATCCATGACACTAGAAACCTAGCCTACTTGTCACCGCAACCGCACGTCGTTGCAGCACATCGATTCTAAGGAAAGCCCTTAGCTAATCCTTGCTCATTTCTCACAGCACCCAAGTGCCGATAAAGCACGTTGCTTACTGTGAACGCCCTAGCATGACAAGATTTGGCAACCAAAGGCAATGTTTAAAAAAAAAAGGTTCCAAAAGATGCCTTTCGACAACCAAGGCAGTGTTTTAAAAGAAACGATCCGCCTAACACCTAGGCCCGGTTGTCCCTCCATGGGCGCCACGTCCAATGCCCAATTTTGGGCAATCACCCAGGGCCATGGGCGCGCTTCCATCTTTAAAGTAGCCCCCAGATTTTGTTTTAAAAGAGTATTGGGGGGGGCATTTAAAACCCCCTAAATTAAAAAACGAAAAACAAAAAAAATATATATAAAAAAAAGACCTTTATAAGCCCTACATCAATTAATTATATACCTATTTCTATGACTCGAAAAAATTTCTAAGGATCGAAGAAGCATCCAAAAGCTTATCTTTCCTTAATAGAATTTTTTTAAGGTGCTAGTGGAGGCCTTAGAGGACTTTTGAGGTGAATTGTAGCTAGATTATGAAATATGGGGACGACGGAGACTATTACAACAACACGCTATGGACGCTTTTAAGTTTCTTCACTAAATTTTCTATGATTTGAAGGTTTGAACATGTTTATTCTTTACATGTGATCTATTTCTATGAAAAAAGTTAATTACCATACATATAAATACAAAAAATGGCAAAATTAACACAAATATATGCATATATGTGCGTTTCGAATTTCAACAACACATATACGCTTAAATTCAAAGAATTTTCACTACAGGGCGCCTGAGGTTTCCGATTCAATCCAAGATCAATTGGGTTTTGAAAGGTATATTACAATATCTAAATTAGGGTTTGGTTATATGTCTGTATAAATGGTTTTCTAGTTTTTTTTTTCCTTTCATTTTTCTTTTTTCTTGTGCTTTTCATTCAAGTTTGGCATAAGATTTTTGCCCCATATTCAAGAGTATGTTTTGGTTTGAGTATTATTGATATGTTTTGGTTTGACTATTATCGATATTTTACGAAGATAGGGTCACCCAATCTAACTAAAGAGTGATTAAACAAACCAAATGGATTTTCTTCTACTTCACTAGTCCTTAATTAGTCCAAAGATTGAAAAGGGGCCAAAAAGTAATTATTCGCTACCATGTTGCCCCTTGTTAATTATTTAGTGGGTCATTTTTAATATATGATGTGATATCAGTGAGTTTCTTACATTTTCGGGTAATTGCAATTTTTGCTTGTAAATTTTTATAGTAATTATTTTGTAAATCAATAAATATTTTCTACTTTGGGTTAATTTATCGATCATCTACTAAAGTTTGATTTGTTGCATCCTAGGTTAAATGCTTAATTTATGTGAATTGCTAGCATATACTTAAGTTTTTGTACGTAATCTATACTTTAAATTTTAGAATTATGATTTTGTGTTGCTAGTGATAATGTAGATTGTCACGAATTGTGGCATATGGGCATGTAATGACATATGGTTTATGAAAATATTTAGATGCCTATACAATTATGTATTTCAATATTATAAAGTTTTAGTACTTCAATTTTTAGGAATGGGCTCAAGGCTAGGTGATCATGGTAGTGGGGGGCACAACATGACATCTTGAATTCCATTCTTATAACAGGTAGTGGACCCCTTCCCCACTTAACTACCCAGATATTGAATAAAAAAAAATTGAAATTTCAACCTCGTCATATTTTCAAAAAGCGCTAGGCGGCCCCCCCAGGCGGCCATGGGGGTCCAGGCCGCTCAACGCCTAGGCGGATGCCCAGAACCTGAGCGGCCCAGTTGAAAAAAAAATTCTGATGAGTGACTGATGGCTGATAGTGATTAATCCATCAGAATTTTGATAATTCATAAGATTATAATCCATAAGAATTTTGATAATCCATAAGACCATAATCCCAATTAAAAAAAGAAATAGAAGTCGAGAAGAGAATTTTGATAATCCATAAGACCATAATCCATATTTTCATACAATGCTAAAACAGTAAAACCATACAATCATACACTGATTGTCTGATACACTGTAGATTGTACACACAAAAATTAGTTAGTAGAACAAGAAACTAAATATATATATATATATATATATGTATGTACAGAAATTCAAAAAATATACAGTCTAAGACACAATAGTCAACACTTAACACAACAGTCAACACCAAGAGTCCTCAGTCATCATCATCATCATCACCATCATCAGAAGGAATAAAGTCAGTTTCATCATATGCATCAAAATCGAGGCTATTATCATCAGAGTCATCTCCCTCTTCAATATAACGCTCGTCCTCCTCTGTTTCTTCTGAATCTGCCTCTTCCTCATCTTCTTCTAGCTCCCTCTTACTAGTATGTGCAGATGAGGCCCTAGAAGTCTTGGCTGCTCTACCATTTTCTATCTTTTTGTGCTTCTCTGAACTCAAATATTGTATAATTTCCTCCCTGGTAGCCTCAAGAACATTTTTACATGGGGCAACATCACCCTTAATACCGACACGGTATTTTTTAAACCGATAAGTGCCCCCATTAGTATCTTTTCCGTAATAATTATATTTAATACGATTTTTGTCATTCAAATTCGGGTTATAACCATACTTCCAACCCGAATCACTACTTCTAGAAGAACCTGAAAAAGATATTTCTGTAGATCAAAGCTCATTTTCATCATTTTCTAATTCTTTTAAATTCAGAAGCTGTCTAATCTCATCCCGAATAGCTTTAGGAACCTTTTTACAAGAAGCAACATTCCCTTTAATACCAGCAAGGTGTTTCTTGAATCGATTAATAACCTCATTGGTATCTTTTTCACAAAAATTACCCCTTATACAATTTCTATCGTTTGGTTTTGAGTTACAACCATACTTCCAACCCAGATCACTTCTTCTAAAAGTAGCAGAAATAGATCTATTCAAATGACAAGGATTTTGTTCCCATTTTTGTTTTACAAAACTCATTTATTGCTTAATCTCTTCTCTGATAGCTTCAAGAACATTTTTACAAGGGACAATATCCCCCTTAATACTAGCAAGATGCTTCTTAAACCAGTTTATTCCCCCTTTCATATCTTTTTCACAAAAATTGGATTCGAGTTATGTCCATATTTCCAACCCAAATCTCCACTTCGACTAGATCCTGAAGAAGACATCTCAAAATAAAACAAGCAATCTAGAAAATAATTTTTTGCACTTACTTTGATTTCTCGAACTCCAAACTCCCACCTCTTATATGTTTTATGGTGCTAAAATAATAAAAAACAACCTTTAATAGGATTATAAAACTCCAAAACCAAATCAAATCGGTGATGTTTGGATACATTTCCGTAACTTTGAGAAACACTTCGATCCAATGAAAACCACAAAATTTAGTTTTCTTGAGGTTTCTTTCTCTGTAAAATGGGTTCTTGTGGGTTTAGGTTTAAAATGAACCTATAACCCCTCCTTCAAATCCTTTATATTTCAAAAAAATTAATACAGCTAAAGAAAATAAAAAATTTCCGCCCTTAGGAGGGGCGCAAGCCCTGGGCGGCCGCCCAGGGCTTGGTGCCCGCTTAGGTAGGTTCCGTATCGCCTAGGCAGCCAGATGCCCTCAGCGTAGAGGAACATGTACTAGGGTGTACATGCGACTCGTTCAGATCCCGAGTTATTGCGAAGCAAAATAAAAAGAATGAGATTATGGAAATAAATATCCTCGCATTTATTGCTATTGCACTATTCATTCTAGTTCCTATTGCTTTTCTACTTATCACTTACGTAAAAACAGTCAGTCAAAGTGTTGAATGAAGCTTGAGTTATTAGTTCTTATCAATGATCAATGATTGAATAAATGAACGGTATTCTAATTCTTACAATTCCAAGTCGCTAGGGACTGCCGCCGAGGTCTTCTAGACCGCCTACGTGCTAGGCGGTCCGCTTTTTTTAACACTGAACCTCGTGTATGTAAGAGATTGAAATAGTACGATACAATAGCACACAAGTAATTTTTTATAAGTTTTTTTTTTTTTCTTTTTTTTTTTCGGGTTTTGTGAGCGAGGGGGACTCGAGGGAGTTGGGAGGGGTTGGCATCCAACACAAACCCCTATAAACTTCATAGCAGGTTCAAACCCCCTTGTGCTTTATTTAGGCCACGCCCCCCACCTAGGGGGCAAGGACCCTATCCGCCTAGCATCTGAATCCCAATTTTTCCACATTGGCGCCAATTAGGAGTGTATAATTTATTCAGCATGGCAAGTCACTTTTGCATGCTATCTGCATAAAGGACCAACTCAAATTTTCCTGTACTTTTTAACTTGCAAAAAAGAATGCAGATGGAAGTATGAAGGCCACAGAAGAACAGCCCAATTATTTATTATGCACATGCATGAAAGCACAAACATAGACCATTTTTTTTTTTTTGAGAATGTCAACTTCATGAACATAGACCAATGGAAAGTTTTTTCTTTAGTTTCTGGATGATAAATGAAAGAAAAAGACCTACAATTTGAAAAGAAAACCTAGTTGCTCACTTTAATTTTATAATTCACTTTAGGAAACGAGCTTGGGTCAAGACAGTAGAGGCTAGGTTTTTATAGCCCAACGTCTCAAGTTCCATTCCTATGTAACCTTGTCAAAAAAAAAATTATAATTCACTTTTTCATACCACGCTTTCCATTTTATTCATAAAAAATTTGGACCTGTTAATCTCCCTTCTCCTTTTTCCTTTTTGTCACCATAAACCTCAAAAGACTAATCAATTAAGCTTCCAAATGAAACTTAGTTACTTACAACCACATGCACCCCTTGTTCTGGCATCAATGTTTGCACCCCGTTCAAGTAATTCATCCATCACTTTGATGTAGCCCCCCTGGGCAGCAAGGTGGAGAGGAGTTACCCCTGGTGATTTGGGGCCCCACGCAGTCACGTTGACATCCATGCCTTCATCTAAAAGTCGTTTCACCTGATACGGAAACAAGTATGAGAACCCAAAACTAGACTAAACAATGACAGCGCTCTAAGTACTCCATTACATTAATACAAACAAAAGGGGAGGAAAAAAAAACAAAAGAAAATTGAAGGAAAAAAACAGATACTATTTAAATCTGGAGGAAAATAAATAAAGTGGTACATTGCTCAAAAGACAACTGCAGTTTGTGCGAGCATGAAATATGCTATAAGAAGTAAATAGAAACATATAATAAAAAAAGCTCCAATTCTCAATGGAAAAAGTTTATGGCTGAGGCCCTAAACGATCAAATTAAGGCGCACCTCAAAAATTCACTAGAAGAGATTGTTTCGATGCCGAAAAACCCTCAAATCCAATCATCTGAACCTTGAGATACAGGGACATAAAAAAAATGGACTTCAAGTCTTGGAAATAGTGCATCTTGTAATACATTATCCTAACCATTAATTTTCAAGTGTTCATAGATCTACTTGATCTACACTACTTTTGAAGCTTTAAATTTCAGGTCGCAGTATTTGGAGTGCCTATGAGGAAATGTATTTATTTGATTGAAAGAATCAATAACAACCAATCTAGTATCAGTGAAAGGCTATTTCAACTTCAACAGCTCTTTGGCCATTAGCTAAGAGTCCCTTATCTCCAACAATGGGCCAATGCATTCTTAAAAGAATAACATTCCTCCATTGCATAATTGTAGGGTTCCTCCATAGCAAGAGGTTAAAAACAGTTTTAAGGCAACAATGAAGTAACTGAGTAATACAACATGAATGAACCATGGGTTGTCTTTTCAATGTATTAAGGTGGTATGGAGCCAAAAAGTAAACAATAGGAAAAACAAATCTTTTTTACGAAAGCATCAAAGGAGGAGCCCATCTACTTAATTGCGATGGCTATCAAGGCAAACTAAGCAGGAATTGTCTGGGCAAACATATCTAAATGTCTAATAGATAGTACGCCAATTATTTTTTCAAAAGAATATAAAAGAAAACTTCAAGGGATATATATATATATATATATATATATATATAGTAGATACATAGGTAAAAGTTT